CTGGAGGTGATCTTAGGCTCCTTGAAAAGGAAGAGTGAGAGTAACCGAGAGGTGAATTAAAAAAACTGCAACCGAAGGCTTTCAGCCTGATTTTAATTTATCTGGGAGAGGAAAAGGTTTTTTAAAATAAAGATCCATGGGCGGAGGGAGGAGGTGAGCAGATTATTCCAGCTAAAAGAATTATACAGGTTAAAACATTAAAACAGGTTGTTTCTGAATGATGTGAATCCAGTCCATGGAGGACTGATCACATATATGCAGCCATTTTGTGTAGTTTAAACCTGGAGGTAGCAGCCATCCTCCCTGGCATCTCAGCTAGGCCCCAGTAATAGGGGTACCTTGAGTTCTGATCACAGGCCTATAGCTGGGTGAAAAGTGACCACCATTTAAAGCTAAGGGAGAGAAACAGGCTTCAGTGCACAGTGCAGTAAGGAGGACGATAAAAGGTAAGTCCCTCCAGAGATGATTCCTGCATTCCTAACCCGGGCCAGTGAGGTACCTGCCCTCCTGGTCCCTCCCTCCCCTGCCCCCCTCCAGTGATATGTGGCTTATAAAGCACTTAGCACAGTTCCTGGAACATTAGCACACTGAATATGCTAGTAGGGAATCTGATTGACAACTGCTTGCAATGAAATCAGAGAATTGAGAAGTTCCTTTTATCTAAATGGCACTGCTGATTAGTGCTGGACTGGGAATCAGGAAGACCTGGGTTCAAATTCTGACTCAGAAATTTATTAGCTATATGGCCTTGGGCAAGTCATTTAGTCTCTCAGCCTCAGTTTCCTCATCTGCAAAACGGGAATAATACTAGCGCCTATCTTACGGAAGTGTTGTGAGGATCAGATGAGATCATACACGTATCTGAACTCATGGAGATGAATCTGCATGTCTCCAAGACCAGTGCTCGAGGCACTGCACCACCCAGCTACCTTGCAAAGCACTTCACAAACCTGAAAGCCCTGTATAAACACTAGCTGTTACTAGTACGTAAGAGAAAAGGGGAGCTGAATTTGCTTGCCCACACAATTTGGCATTTGTTTCAGACCACTCCTGCACTAGAGCTCTTAATGAGTAATTCTTGAATGAAAAAAGTCTGGAGGGAGGGAGGAGGTAATCAAGGAACCCCTGAGTAGAAAGCGCCAAGAACCAAACGATTTCCTTGTTTTCTGCTGCCAGATCATTAATTGTGGTAGGGACAATACATCAGGTAACTTAGTCCCCTTAGAAAGGGATTCCCCCTAACCACCCTAGCTCTCCCTGGAAGGAAGCAGCAACACCCACAGAGACCCACAGAATGCACAGACCACACCAAGACTACTGGGAGCAACATTGAGAATTCTCCTTTTATTGTTCTGCACACAACTCTCATGGGCACTAGGTGTCGCTGTCCTCTAGCAGAGCAATACAGCACAGACAGCCAAAAAAACAAAAACAAAACACAAACCCAACCACTTTTTTTTTTTAAACAAACAAATCAATAATACACCAGGACATTCGCCCACTCCCTCCCACCTCCCCCCCAAAGCCCCAAATCAGTTCCAACAACAACAGACAGGTGGGAGGCGGGGACCTTTCTCTGTCCCAATGACCCGTCCACCTTACTTCCCTTCCTACCCTCATGCTCGGCACGTCAGTGGGACCTTAGGACGCCACAAGTTCCTGACCAAGTATAAAAACACAGACAGCTCCAAATTATACAAAGAAGAAAAAGAAAAGACACGTCCACACACACGCACACACGCACCCACTCACACACACACAGACCCACTCACACACACACACCCCTCCTACATATTCATGGGATGGGGTTTGCAGGGACTGTCGTTCCTCCAACCCCATTCACCATGCCTAGAGGAGGTCTCGGATTGAAGGCAGGGCCCAGGTCATTGCTGGTGCTGGGATGGTGAGGGGCAGGACGAGAGCTCTCTTCTGGGCAGGCAATGGATATGCAGCAGGGCCTCCAGGGAAGGATAGCTCTGCCTGGGACCAAGCCCATGGGCAGGCAAGGCATTTGCCAAAGGCCTCACGGGACCAGAGTTCTTGTATCTTTCTCGTTAGCTTTTCCAGAGTACAGTCAGGAAGCTCCTGAGCAACATGACCAGGTTAAAGGGTGGGATCTTCAAAGACTTCCCTGTGCCAGCGGGGGGTAAGACCATCGACAACACATTTGGACTATAGGCCACAGGTACACTTTTAAGAGCCCGTACTTTTCTTGCTTGGCAAAGGGAAAGGAGATGAGAAATGCCCCCACCCTCTGGCACAGTGAAGAAGGGAAAATTTAGCAGTGTGGGTGCTAGTGACGGGAGTCTGCCACTTACTATCTATGTGACCTTGGGGAAATAATCTCACCATTCTGGACATTCATCTCCTCATCTATAAAATGGGACGGTTGGACTCAGAGATCTCCAAAGTCCCTTCCAGTTCAGAATGTATGCTCTGTGAACCTTTAGGGCTCAATGAACACTCAATGCTATAAACTGAAGGAGTTGGGCTGGGGTAGATGACGTACCCCCCCCCATTAATATCCTTAAAAAGGCAGAGAAAATGGAACATAAACACAGCTTGGACATCTTATGGAAAAGGAAGCTGGCTTGAACCCTAACTGCCCAAGACAACCCGAGGGGTATTAACCAGAGGAAGCTGACCAACCTTGATGAATTCCCTGGGCTCTCATTCTCTTGCGGCTTATGCTCCTACTCCCCCATCCTAATCTTCCTTATCCCTGGCCTGGTCCTCAGTCAAACCACTCACTTTATTATTCTTTCACGCCCATTTCCCACTGGTCAACAACCCTTACTTCCCTTCTTTAACTTATGCTCCTTGCAATCCATTCCAACTTTGCTGGTTCCCCAACCTCTCCACTATTGAGAAGCCCAGAGAATTAACAAAGGTAACAAACACGAGTGCCTGGCACCAGGTGTGTGACAGCAACACAACCCTGCGTCAGGAAAATGAAGGCCAATTTCTGAGGCGTATTCTCTGCCACATCATGGGTTTCAATTTGGAGTTTGAAAAAATACGGTTGGCATAACCGAGTGCCACTAAAACACAGGGTCAGAATCTCCAAAGGAAAGGCACTGCTAGCTCTCCCTTTTGTAATACTGTGGAAGGAATAGGGAATAGTGTTAGATGACCCAGATGAAGGGCTACTGTTTTCATGGCTCTAATCTTGGGGAGAGAAAAGGTGGGAAGGAAGGTGGGAGAAATTTCAAAGTCTGCAGTGAGTATGGTTGTCTGATCGCCAGCTCACTAGTAAGAGGAAATGACGAGCCTTTCGTGGGAAGAACAGAAACAACCAAAAGCAAAATGGTGGCTCATTCCATGAAGGGACCAGAAATTTCTATCAGTGTTCCCTCTAGAGGAAGTCACTGGTTGTTTTCCAACTACCTCCCATTGCTGGCAGCAACTTGTAATGGGTTCTAGATCTCTGCACCAGCTTTTTCTTTCTCAGTTGGGTGGAAATTAGGTCATGGAGCCCTTGGCCGCCATCATTTCAAAATGGGTTTTCCACAAGCAGCCCATAGGGCTGGCCTCCAGTCCTTATTGAAGTACCATCAAAAACCTTCCAAACATTATGAAATATATGTACATATATACGTCAGGCCCCCCAAACATGAGGCATACAAATTCAAATCCCTATCCAGGGGAAATCTCCCCCATACACACAGTTCAAAGAACCCACCTTCTTCAAAAGGGAACTATAGTTTCCCTTTCTCTCCTCTCTGAACCCTAATTCTGCCCCCATTGGGAGCAGATAGCAAAAGAGAAGTTTGGGCCAAAAGAAGCCCCCTCCCCCAGGGACACCACTCAGACATAGGCTAGACCAGATGTGAGTGGGGTGGGGATCTATCCCACTTGGGAATCAGATAAGAACCCAGCTGGGTTCTAACCTAGGCTGAAACAGATCCAGAATGTGGGGGTCTCCACTTCTCTACTGCCAGGCAAAATTTTTAATAGAGGCAGCCTGGTGCGTAGAAAGAACACAACGTTTGAAGTCAGAAGACTTGGGTTCAATTCTCAGTTCTAATTACCATCTGTGGGACATTAAGCAAATCCTTTCACTTCTCTGGGCCTCAGTTTCCTCATCTGTAAAAGAGGGGAATAGAACAGATGGCCTCCATGGTCTCTTCTACCTCTAAATCTCTTGCCTGCAGGAGGGGACAGACAGGAGGCCTAGAGTGGGACAGCGAAGAGCTGTCCATGGTTCTGATCTTGTCTGGTGATTGTTTAAGAGATGATGATCTCCGCACTCTCATTCTTCTTCCTTAGCCTCCCTCTTTCCACTTGGTCCTTTCACAGGCTGGAACAAATCATATTCCAGTTTCACTGTGGGCTGCTTAAGAGCTGAGAGAAAATGACGGGGCAAGTGAGTTGGTTCTGTTCGGATCCCAGTTCAAATGGGGTAGGTGCACGTGGAAAAACTGGGACTGGGGCTGATAACCGGCTCAAAAAAGGGGTGGGAGGAGGGGAGCAGATGGGTGATGCATGGAGATAAGGAATGTGCCCTATAGCACGTACACAGATGGGACAGAGTCTGGTATGGACTCAACTCACAGTGAACATATGAACTTAAGGGAACCAGGTCTCTATTTGGCTGGGCTGACATGAGTCAGGAGGGAAAAAGGTTGGAAAGGCCTTCTTTCCCTGAGCACAGCTCAGATGCTGGCTAGGACGGACCTGGAAGAGGCCAAGGGAATGGAGGGTCTTGGGTGGAAACCTGAACGACTCTGGACAGAGCAGATTCAGGCTCAATTCCAGTTGATGAAGCAGAGGCTGAAGTGACCAGCCCCGAGAAGAAACCCCAGGGGCCATCAGCCATAGAGAACCCATGGCCTCATTTGAGAAGTTGGAGGGAGCAGGTTATGGTGATGATGCTCCCAAAGGCTTTTGCAGAAGCCTCCCTCCTCAAGAAGAGCAATCATTCTGACCCCACATTGGCCAAGGCATTCAATGTCACAGCGATTTAACCGGTTTCAGCCCCTCCCTCCCACCCACCCTGCACAGTGAGGGCCCTGCTCCCTTCCCTTAAGAGAGGAGGGAGCTGAAACTCTGCTCTTGAAGCAGAGTGTAAACACCATGGAGAGGCTCCAAGAGGATGGAGCATCTAACTTCGCAAGGCCCAGGGTGTGGAGTGATCGCCACACCTCTTTTAGCCAGCGTGCTGGCCAAGTTCCCCACTAGGGGGATTCCTTGCCCCCCAGGACTATAGTCTCGTGGAGAACATGGTGAGTGGGATTCTCTGTCCCATGTTCCCTCTTGTATCCGATGAGGTTTATGAATGACATAGCCTATAAATAGGGCTGTCACTTGCAAGGGTGGAAGGTGAGGCAAAGGGAGAGGGACACTCCCTCGACTCCCCGCCCCATGGTGTTCGGCCAGCCCTCCCCCTATCACGCTTCCTTGGGGTATCAGTCCTTCTCGAGGGCAGCGCTGTCCTCGGCGATGCCCTGGGCGGCCAGCTCAGCCAGCACGTTGTCCAGGTAATTGGCATCTGGGTAGCCGTGGCCCGTGAGGTTGGAGCCAAACTCCGTCTTGTGGTGGACTTCATTCCAGATGACGGTGTCAGACTCGCCTGTGGTGCTGGAGGTGCCCACGGCAAAGATCAGTCGCCGATCCCAGGCAACCAGCAACAACTTCAGCACCTGGGAAGGATGACAGAGGGAAGAAAAGGTGTGGAGGCAAAGTCGGATGGACATTCAGGCGCAGAATCAAGGCTCTAAACTGTTCCCACTCAGAATCCAGAGTCACGGCTAGGAGACCTCCTAAGCCTGCCACTCAGCTTTGAACTCCGTCTCTCTTCATCGTGAAACCTTCCAGGGCTCACCCTTGCCTTGTTTTCTCATCATCACCAGGATAGTTTCTCTTCTCCCCCACTCAAGCCTTTCAGAACATTCCCTTTGCAGACTCACGATCAGAAATGAATCTTAGAGAAGGAAATGAGCATTTATTAAATGCCCACTGTGTACCAGGCACTGTGTTTAATACAATGCCTAGTATATATAGTAAGCATTTAAACATATCATCTCATTTGATCCTCATAACCTTGAGAGGGAGGAGCCATTATTATCCTCATTTTACAATTGGTGAAACTAAGGCAGAGAGAGGTTAAGTGATCTGCCCTGGGTTACAGAGCTAGGAAGTGTCTGAGGCTGGGGGTGAACTTGGGTCTTCCTGATTCCAGACCCAGCCCTCCATCTACTGCACCACCTAACTGCGTTTGAACAGATAACATAGAAAACCAGAGCAAGATTGGACTTTGGAACATGGAATGTCAGAACTGGGAGGGAAGAATCAAGAACAGAGTTCCAGAGCTGAAAGGGATCTTGGAATGCAGCCTCTGTGGCTTCAAAGCCAGAAACAACTTCATAACACAGAATGTCTGAGCTGGAACCAGTATCGAAGAACATTAAATCTAGCCTCTCACTTCACAGATGAGAAATTGAGGTTTAGGGAGGGAAATGAATGAATTGTGGAAAGCAATCTGTCCTGTAGACGTGGCCTGAAACCCCAATTATACTCTGAAGCAGCATTTTTAGGCCAGAAAGGCCTAGACCTCAGTATAGGAAATAATGCTTGCTGTTCCGCGTAGACCATCTTACCATCTGCCCTGATGCTAATGTGGATCCTTCCCTCCTTGAGCCCTTCCCCCTACTTTATATCAGGAAAGGGTATGCCATTACCTGTCCTTGGGCTCCACTTGGTATCCCTCTAATTTCCTAGACCACAATTCCCTTCCCTGGCTACCGTTCTCCTCCATGTGGTATAGAATTCAAATTCCTTAAGGGTATGAATTAATTCTTTGTATCTTGAGCCTGGCACACATTAAATGTTTAATAAATGCTTTTTCATTCATTGATTCATTTTTTGATTTATTTCCCTACAGTAGAAGCACCTCCGGCTCCGTAAAGGGGTCAGCCAACAAGGCCGTTTCATGCATATGGTTCACGAATGGTCCTAGGGCCAAGAAGACAAGGGAGGGAGTGGAGGGATCTGGCAGCCTGAGCCTCCCTCATCAGTCTGGCCCTGGTACTACTGTACAGTTCCAGCCCGAAGAGTCCAAAAGGCTCGGATTGGAGTCCTGACTGCCACCTTCGCGTCTCAAGCCTGTTTCCTCCTCTAAAACCTGGAAGCACCTGCCTTTGTCTGGAAAACAGGAATAATGAGACACACACTACCTACCTTCCAGGGCTGTTGTAAAAACTAAATGAGATAATGGATGTGAAAGCTCTTTGTAAAGTGTTCTATCAAAGCAGGTTGTTGTTGTGGTTATCATCATTACCAAAGATCAGACATGGTCGTAGCCCCACGGAGGTTTATAATTTAAGGGTGTCCTGAGTGGTGCAGCCATGCTCACGGGGAGAGATGAGCCTGTTCATAATTAACTTAGCCACGACCTGACCAGACCCACTGCTTTTCATTTAGTTAATAACAGCTCCCGTGTGTAACATGCCATGGTTTTCAAATCATTCCCACATTAATTACTGTATTTAATCCTCACAACAACCCAGTGAGATGAAGAGGACAGGTGTTATTATCCTCATTTGACATGAGAAACTGAGGCCTTTTAGGAAGGCGAATGGACTTGTCCCGAGTTGGAGGGAGGGTCTTGGCTAAACTCCTGGGCTTGGGACTCCTGGCCAGACTGTCCCTCTCCTGAACGTCAGCTCAACCTCTTCTCTTTAGCATGATGGTTCTTCATATTTTTTAATGTTCTGGACCCTTCTCACAGTATAGGGAAGCCTGTTCTCAGGACAGTGTTTTAAAAATACATAAGATTTCAAAGGAAACCAATAATATTGAAATACAGTTATCAAAATAGTAAAAATTAAAAAAAATTTTTTAAAGAGTTCATGGAGTCACAGATCCCAGGTTAAGAATGTCTGTTTAAGACTAAGCACATTACAGTCAGTTAAGACTAAACATACGTCAGCCAGAGGGAAGGGAAGCAAAATGTCCCCATACAGCAAGGCATGGCCTGGGGAGCCCCAGAGGAGAGCAGGGTCCAATTCCTATCAGGATCCAGATTGAGGAGGGAGGAACACATTCTCTCTGACCAAAGGACTACTTGGGTTATGTATTGCTTCCAGGTCAATATCACCTTTTGACCAGCGAGAATAGGCCAGGGATGACCTCAGTCCTCTTCATTCAGTATTTGGTAAGAAGCAAAGCTTGGCATTCCAGACCCTAGGAAAAAATTCTCACCTTCCTCCCTTTCTCACTATCTGGGAGGTAACAATGTCGAGGGAAGCCACGGGCGGTGAAGCTCTTCCCAGGATTCGGGTGTTCTGGTCCCTGAGGGAATAAAAGAAACACAAAAAGGGGTTTTCAAAGAATTTGACTCCAAAAGAACTCCTAGGATCTGACATTTTCAATACACCTCAACCAATATTCAACTCCATCAGTACGAGAAGGAGAGGCAGGTGGGCACATCAGGCTACCGGCAGCAACTCCTATCAGATCTGACATTCTGTGTTCTAAGGTTCCCCCCAGCTCTGACATTCCATGTTCTAAGCCCCCTGCCAGATCTGACATTCTATGTTCTAAGGTTCCACTCAGCTCTGACCCCCCATGTTCTAAGCCCCCTGCCAGATCTGACATCCCATGTTCTAAGGTACCACCCAGATCTGACATTCTGTGTTCTAAGGTTCCCCCCAGATCTGACATTCCATGTTCTAAGGTTCTACCAAGCTCTGACATTCCAAGTTCTAAGCCTTGACATTCCCTGACATTCCGAGTATGTAAAAAGAGACTGCAGCTCAAATTCCTCAGACCTACCAATAACTATGTGCCCATTTTTTTAAAGGACCATCAATACATCTGCTAGGGTCCTTGGAACCAGAAAAAAGCCTCCTGAGGCTGGCAAATACTTGGTGGACTGGTACAGCTTGTCAAATGCCAGATCTGACCCTTGCCAGTTGTGTAAAATTGGGTGGGTAAGGAGATTTCCCTTCTCCAAGCCCTGGTTTCCTTATCTGTAAAATGACACTAATAGCTTTTGGACTCCCTACCTTCTACGGTCCATCTACACTCACCTGAATCCCTGGGGGGATATTGTAGATTATCCGGATGGTTTTGCAGTCTGGGTGCCCAGGCAGGGAGTGGGGGATGAGGTGATACTCCATCTTCCCAGGGGGCTGGGTCCCTGTCTTGACACCATAAATGGTTTTGCAGGTTGGACATTGCAAACTTCCATCCTGTGAAGGAGGCAAGGCACAGAAACAGCTGAAACGAGGAGACGGACTTGGGTAAAATCTCCAAACACAGAAGGACGAGGCGGAGGGAGATATGAAGGCTGCTTAAGCTCAGAGCAGACCTCTTAGCCCTCACCCAGCCTAAGAGGATGTGGTCAGGAGACAGCTGGGTTCTAGTGGTCACTTTGCTGCTCACCAGCCATGTGACCCAGGATAGGTCATTTCTCATTTTGGGGGGTTCAGCATCCTCAACTGCAAAATAACAGCGTTGGACTCTATTACCTTTGAGGATCCTGTGAGCTCTGATATTTTATTTATATTATATTTAGTTCTAACATTTTGTGTGCAGAAGCTGGTTCCAGTTCTAACATTCCATGTTCTGTGTTCTAAGGTCCCTCCCAGCTCTGATGTTGCTTGCAGAGTACATTTTAGTCTTTTTGCATGTGGATTAGACTAGGGCTGCCGAGGCAGTCCCAGCTGATTTTCAAATTATGTGAGTTCTAAGTTTTCAAGTTTTGCTCAGCTTTGACATTCTATGTTCTGTGTTCTAAGATTCCTTGCAGCTCTGACATTCTAGACGGTAAGGCTCCTTCCAGATATGGCATTCTATGTTCTAAGGTTCCACCCACCTCTAAAATTCTAAGTTCTAAGGGTCCCTCCCCCCTTCTGACATTCTATGCTCTAAGGTTCCTCACAGATCTGACATTTTATGTTCTAAGGTTCCATGCAGCTCCGACATTCTCTGAATCTGTAAAAAGAGACTGTATTTCAAGTTCCTCAGCCATGCCAATGACTCCGTGCCCATGAAGAAACTCCCTTCACTCTGCACCGGCTTTTGTTTCCTGCAACATGAGTTGATCTACTTCATCAGAAAGCCCTTCAAAGAGCATAAAGAGCTAGGGCACTGCGGACTTTTACCATGCCTTTTTTTAGTCTTGATTATGAACCTAGGACTGTGCTAGGTGCTGTGAGCCATGCAAGCGACATCCTATGAAGACAATTCAAGGAGATTACAGCTGTTTTTAAGGAACAAGACAGACACAGGCAGGCATAACAGGGTCCAAAAGCCCAGAGATGATGCCGCTAACCCCAAAGTTGGCCAGTTTAACAATTCTGCCAATCCCAAGCAGACCTTGTGCTGGGGCTACAGAATCAGCTTAAGGCGAACCTCGACTTTGAAGCCCCTAGAAATTACTTCAGCCTATACCGATTTTTCCTTTTTCAGACATCAGGGAATCCCAGAATCTCCAGGTTATGAGGTACCTCACCTACCATCTTGTCTAGCTGGCACCCAACCAAAAACTCCCTTCTACAAAATACCCAAAGAAGAGTCACTCACTTTGACCGAAGCCCTCCAGTGAGGGGAAATTCCCTTCCTCTTCAGGACTCCCATTCCAAATTGGGAGGCTCTTTCTGACATCAAATCCAAGTTTGCCTCTTTCTACTCCCATTCATGGCTCCTACTTCTGCCTCTGGGGCCATGCAGAGAGGGTCTAATACCTCTTCTGCATGATGGCCCTTCAAACATGTGAACACAGCTCTCATATCCCGACTCTGACACTTTTTTCTCTCCAGGCTAAATACCCTTCAGCTAATTCCCATGACATGGTGCTGAAACCCTTCATCATCCTGACTAACCACCTCTGGATATCACCCAGTTTTTCAATGCCCTTTCCAAAAGGGCAGAAAATGAACAATGCAGAAAGTCTTAGATCTGACCAAGATGGCATCCAAGCTGCCAACACACCATCTTCTTCCTAAGGGTCTCAGAGGGAGCAGGCAAGCTTGGACCCCACCCAGACAAGCTGACCCCAACACATACCTTGTTTCCATTATTGTACATGGCAACCAGGCAATGCAGGTGATAGATGTGACCACACTCGGACAGCTTCCCCACCAGGTCTGGCTTGACTGTTGGCTGGGGGCCCTTATAACCTGATGGTGCTGCAAGGCGTTCCATGCAGATGGTGCAATCCTGTGGGGGCCACATGAAGGAAGAGGGCTTTTCAGATCATAAGCATCACAGAGAGGAAAATGGAAACCCACAACAGGGAAGACACTTACCCAAGGTCACACTGCTCCTTGGTACCAGGGTGTGGACTCCAACTCCAGTTTCATAAGATTCAGAGTTGGAAGGGACCTTAAAGGTCATCCAGACCAACCCTGACTCCCACCACTCACTTTACAGATGGGGAATTTGAAGCCCAAGGAAATCAGAGGACTGGCCCTTCCTCTGAAGGGAGGACAAACAGAAAGTAGCAGGGCTGAGACTGGATCCCGATTGTGGAAGGGCCTTAAGTGACAAACTAGGGTAGGGGGTCTTAACCTGGGGTCTGCGACCTTGTGTGTTTATGTATGTGTGTATGTATGCATGTATGAATGTATATATGTTCTTGTGTATATGCAGGCATATTTATATACACACATACATGAATTATACATATGTGTGTATGTTTTGAAAACTATATTTTAATGTAATCTTAATGTATTTTATTTTACGCATCTAAAAACATTTTTTCACAGAAAGGGTTCATAGACTTCATCAGCCTGTCAAAGGGGTTCATGATACAAACAAGGTGAAGAATTCATGGTCTTTTAATGGGATTTCTAATATACTCTAGAGGCAAGAGAGGGCTATCGAAGGTCTTTGAGAGGAGGAATAACATGGTCGGACGCATGCCTTAAGGAGGTTATTTTGGTAGATGCGGAAGGTCAACCCTGGTGACCACTGAACCATTTAACAGTGCAGGGGATAGGGATAAGCACCCGAAGCCTAAACTGGCCACCCCAATCTGAGCCCGCTGGTGACTCACCTCATCTGGGGGGTGGCGCACTTTCTGCAGGTACTTTTTCAGTACTTCTTCTGGAGTCTTCCCTGTAGGGATAAGGATATGAGAAGAGGTCACGGAAGGGACAATGATTACAATAACAACCATGTCCAACATTTATTAAGTATCCTCTGAGCACAGAGTACCAGGGGAGGAGTAAAGTGCAGATGAAACAGGTCCCAGGCCTCATGGACCTCACAGTCTAGGATAAAATCTACACACACACACACACACACACACACACACACACACACACACACAGCGCTGTTAGATTAAGAGCTGGAAAGAATCTCAGAGGCCGTAGAAGCTGAGTGGCCCTGCAGTAGGAGAGAGTCTGAAAAGGCTTAGATCAAAGCATGGAGCACTGGGAGAAAAGGGAATGAGGAAGGAAGGTTCCTTTATGGAACTACTAGACGTCAGAAATGGAAGCGATCTGAGAAGTCACCTCGTCTAATGCCTTCATTTTACAGAGGGAGGAAGTGAAGGTCCGGTTAATGATTTATCCCGGATCATGCAGTAAGTTAGGTGGAAGACTTGGGGGACTAAACCCTGGGCCTCCTGCCTCCCAAGCCAGGCTTCCTTCCATGATACCACAATACGTCCGAGAAAGGTCTTCATTCTGGCAGGAGGATTCCCATCTGAGGAGATGGGAAAAGGGACAGGAGTCTGAGGAAACATATCAGCTGAGGGGCTGGGCTGGAGACACAGCCCTCTCCTGGTCACACCTGGGTCACAAGAAAAGGGAGGCTTTCTCATGGTTGTCTTGTGCTTCCTAGGTTTCAGAGTGCTTCCATTTATATTTCCTCCATTAGACACACACGAATACCCAGAAGGTATGTAGGATAAGTAGCAGTAGATGGAAGAGGACTCTGATGTCCAAAGAATAGAAGTCGTGCAATCAGTGAATATTATATGTAGAGTAACCTTAGAACACAGAATGTCAGAGTGGGAAGGTCCTTAGAGCACAGAATGTGAGAATTGGGAGGGAACTTAGAACGTAGAAACGTCAGAGCTGGGAGGGTTCTTCCAGCAAAATATGTCCTATCTGGAAGGGCCCTTGGAGTCCAGCAGGTCAGAGACAGGAGAGTCCTTACAACACAAAATGAAAGATTCTTAGAACAGACTCTTAGAACATAAGATAACAGCACTGAGAAAAGGACCAGATCATCTGGTCTAATCCTATATTTTTCAGATAAGGAACCTGATACCCAGAAAGAGCAAGTGACTTGCCCAAGGACACACAGTTAGTTAATGACAGAGACGGGCCTTGAACCCAGCTCTTCTGACCTCCCCCTCCCCAGTGAAGTTGGGAGGGGGTACCTTTCTTGGCCTGTTTTTTCGTGGTCTTGCGGCTTGTGTTGGAGACCCCTGGGATAGACTTGATTTCACTCTTGCTGACAGGAGGAGGGTGCAGGACCAGCTTAGGAGGCCGGGTGAGGCACACGGGCAATCCTGCAGCGCTCATGAGGATTCCTGTGATTCCTGAAAAGGGAGCAGGAAAAGGACAGCAGATGAACAATCCATGAGGATGCCCCATTCCCTTCCCTCCCAGCCTTCTAGGATTCAGTGACTCAACCCTGACTCCAACATCTGCTCCCCTCTTTCTGGATTCTCTCAAGCATCACCCTGCTCATCCCCCTCCTTGAATTCCTCTTTTGTTGCCAAAGGACATTCAAATTCCCTCTCTCTGACAAAAGAAACCTTCCCCTTTACTTCCTTTGCTCCAAGTCCCACCTGTCAAGCTCAAACAGAGCCAGAATAAGCCGTGTCTGCTTCCTAGGCAAAAGTTGACAATTGTATCTCTCCCACATCACTGTTCAATGAAGGCTTTAAGCCTTCCAAAACATGGGCCTTGAAAGATCACAAAACAAACTACCACAGGCCGTGGAGAGGCCCCGTTTTCTGGCATCAAGAAAATGTGCATCTATAATGTCATAGCAAAGGGTATTATATACCCCAAGAAGGTCAAAGTCAGAAAGGTCCCATTGATGTTACAATAATTGGAGCAGTCGCACCTTTTATGGGAGCAAAGAACCAGAAGCATGGTGTGCACCCATCAACTGGGGGATAGCTGGACACACTGTGGTGCATTCATGGAATGAAATGCTATTGGGCCCCAAGAAATGACAACTAGGAGGAAGGCAGAGACACATGGGAATATGGGTATGATTGGACATGGAAGAAAGGAAACAGAACCAGTAGTAGAATGCACACAATGACACAATGACGAACAGGAAGAAACAAAAAACAAACGACAAAAGGAAAATGGGTGCAGTGTTACGACAGTGGCCAATCTTGGCCCTGGAGGAGAATGAGGAGATGCCCCAACCCTCCTTCACTGAAAGCAGGGGACGATGGCTGTGGAATGGTGTATACCCTATGGGACATAGGTGCTGTATTGGTTCAGCTTGGGGTTAACTGTTTTCTTTGTTAAAAGAGAAAGCTCGTTGTGTGGAGTGTGTGTGTGTGTGTGTGTGTGTGTGTGTGTGTGTGTGTGTGTGTGAATTTGGGGGGTGGGTAGGAGGGAGAGTTAAATATGGAAATGTCAGTTGTGTAAAGCCCAAAGATAATGGTAAAACTTTTAAGTAAAAGGAAGAAAAAAGCTGAAGTAGAAAAGTGTCCCTTTCGTTACCCACTTCCCTCCCCTCATCTGTGTGCCAGGCAGCTGCTGATATTGGGGCAAAGCCAAGGGGCCTCTCTTACCTGCTAAGGCAGGATTCACAGGACTGGACCCATTGAGGTTTTTCACTGGGACAGTGGGGACACTGTGTAAGGGAGGAACACACATATTATTATCTGTTTTGTGTGTGAGTATGTGTGCATCCTTTATGATCAAGAATCCTCAGCCCAAGAAGAGTTCCCCCTTCTCTTCACGGGCATCCCAGATCCTCTATTTCTGACCTGTGTGCACTTAGGGAAGTTACTTCCTTTGTCTGGGTCTCTATTTCCTCATCTGTGGATGGGATCAGACTAGATTGGGGCAGTCCCTGGGCCAAATTCAGACTGCTGCCAGGTTAGGCACAGCCCCAGAAGCTAAGAAAGGAAATTAAAAATGTAAAAACCATTCTTAGCTCTCAGGACTGAGGAGAGCTTGATGGAACAGGATAGCTAAGGGACTGTTTCCTTTTGATCATTGTATTCCTAGTGCTTACCACGATGCCTAGCTTCGTACATGCTTGTTGGGATAAAATGAATCCCACGATTCTCTTAACAGTCAGAAAAAGCTCAGAATCAGGAATATCTCCAAATAAGGTTCAAGCCCCTCTTTGAACATATACTGGGCTGCATCACATTGGTAACTTCTCAGTGACCCAGGCAACTCTTTAAAAATGTAGAAAAGGTGCAGCTATCTGAAGTGTTCAAGGGAATTGGCTCGCTGGGGATTCCCTATGCCAATGAAATCACAGGTTGGTTTCAAAAAACAATCCCCTAGATACTGCTAGGCTTTGTGCAACAAGACCTGAGCCCATCTTAACAGACAGAAGATGAACTGTGATAAAAGAGGCAAACAGGAAAAGTGAGCTCTCCAGTCACTGCCCCACCCATCCCCTGGGGCCCTGAGGGGACAGGTGCTTATTATGGGTGGTGGCTGGTAGTGGGGCAGGTGGAGGGGTATCCTCCCAACCCTTTTTCTAAGGCTAGTTCCACAAAAGCCCAGACCTGGGGCTTTTGACCAATTGCCTTTGGTGTGGTGGACAGGGCCCTGGATTTGGAGTTTGAACCTGGGTTCAAATTCTGCCTCAGACTCTTCACCTCTGTGTGAAGTCAAAGGAAACGTGAGTTTGCAAATTTAGAGACATCTCCACGCCACACATTCACATGGACTATTTGTGCCCAAACTGTGGGAGAGCCTTCCGAGCTCATATTGGTCTGATTAGGCTGTGGGACACACTAGACCTTTGACTCTGACACAGTGGTATCATTTTGGTCCTCTTTGAGGACAATAACCATTCACCTCCTTGTGCCTCAGTTTCCTCATCTTTAAAATAAGGGGGTTGGCTTCAGCAGCCACTAGGGTACCTTCCATTCTAAATTTAGGAGCCTAAGACTGAGAGAAAATGGATGTAGACATGGGGATACAATGAAAAGGGTCAAAGATTGCTCTAGAATCGGAAGATCATGACAGAAAAGAGGAACCAGGAGCAAGAACCATCCCCTAATCATACCTGGTTGGAGCAACTGGTCTCAAAAAGGAGCTGAAGAAAAGCCATGTAAGGTCTGACAGAAGAGAAGTGACATCTGGGCTATGGGATGATGGGAAAGGGGACAGGGACAGAATGGGACTCAGAAGGCACAGCTTGGGGTGAGATCAGAGCAAGGAGAAGGGCTCCTACACACACAAAAGTGGGGAAGGAGTGGAGATTGAGACTCTCTCCAGCCTGGGTGACCCTGATTGGGCAGTTCTTTTCTGGGCCTCGGTTTACCCATCTACAAAAAGAGAGGGTTGGTTAGATCATTGCTAAGATCACTTCTAACTCTAAATCCTATTTAAAAACAGTTCAGTTACTCTCAGAGTTTTCTCCCCACTTCGGATCAGAGATTTTAGCCTGTTAAAGAACTATTTTCCCAACAAAGGGGCAGGGATTTTGAAGACAGCACCTGTTCGACCCCCCTACCCAAATGCTTCTTAAGTGTCTTCCGTGATAAGTTCTCAGCGATCACCATCAGGGGATGATAGCATTGCACCTGTGTTCTCCCAAGCACCTCCAAAAGAAAGCCCCCATCTTAGCTGATATGTTGCAGTGATTTGGGTGACAAAAGCCACCTTTGTTCCCATAAACTGGACTGACAGGTTTCCCCATCCGACCCAGGCAAACAGGAAATACCAGCAAAGTACAGGCATGTAGCAGGCCTGTCCAGGGAACTAGGCTTACATGAGCAGGTGTAGGAAAGACAGAGAACATACACATACACATAGTCATGTGAGGAGGTAAGTATTCCTTCTGTCTGCCAGGAGACGTGTGCTCTGGGTACAGGGACAACCAAGGCTGGAAGTGGCTTCAGGGAGAAAGAGGGCTGGATCAGCAGTTGGGGGTGGGAGAGAGGCAGGGGGCTAGCTTCTCCAGCATCTAATGGTGATCTTAGAAAAGTAATTTCCCCTTACTGGGTTGGTCTTCATTTTCCCATGTGAAAAATGAAGAGATGGGACTATACGATTTCCAAGGTCCTTCCCAGCTCAGACATTCCATGTTCTAAGACCTCTCCTAGCTCTGACATTTTCTGTTCTAAGTCACTTAAGCTGAGGTCCTGTCCATTTCAAGCATTTGAGCACTTAATAAATGTCTGCTGACTGATAACTGTTAAGATCCCTTTCAGTGCTGCTACTTTTATGTTCTAAGCTCTGATGTACCAGTTCTGACATTTTTTTGTCCCGTGGCTTAAGTTCCGCTCACTGCTAATGTCCTATGTTCTATGTTCTAAGATTCCCTCCAGCTCCGGAACTCTATGGCTGTACTCTGATAAACGCCCATGATTCCTTCTATCCTCAAGGACCCAACAACACCCTCCTCAAGAATGGAACAGAAGTCCCCCCAAAGCTGTCCTTCCTTTCCATATTCCTTGCTCATCTACGACTAAAGAACTAGGAAAAACCAGAGACAATGACCAATGGGAGAAAGTCAAGCCCCAGGGGAACCCAGGGTGATAATTCTAACTGTCAGATCTCCTCAGGACAAAAGTCAAACGCTAGGGTGTGGTTATACGTCCCTGCATCAGTGTCAGGCCTGTGTTTCTCTTATCAAGCCCTAGCCTTATACAAAACCATAACGTGAAATCCAGAGCTCTCTAAGAGATCCAGTCAGTGCCAAGGTCCACACTGGCCACACCTTCTGCTGGGCCCAAGCTGTTCACATTAAGTCCGTCCCTTTGAGAAGAGGCAGGGGCAGAACAGAGGCACGCAGAGCGTTGCTATGAAGGCGCCATAATCCATCACAGCCGCCAGGCAACCCCACTTAGGCCAGCCTGCCCCATTCACGTCGGCCAATCAGAATACTCCTTAGCTTTTTGGCTTTCTCTAAATTGGGGGAGGGCGTCTCATAAACCCAAAGGACTTGATCTATATGACTGAGAAAATGAAAAGACTGGAATGGGGTTGGGGGGAGGGGGGCGGGGCGGGGAGACATCTCTGTAGAAACCATAGTGAGAAGCAGGGGTTTTCACGGAGATAAACACACCAGCCCAGGAATCCCCAGAGCTGGACAATGGTCCGTCACTACGGTAACTGAGGCCTAGCTGGAGATAGAGAAATCACTAATCTAGAGGAGACACACAGAGAGACAGTTCCCGCCCTCCTAGCATACATACCACTCCCCCCTTCTACTCTTTAGAAACACCCCCTCCTTGTCTCACTGAATAATTCACAGGGTCTTTTGTGACCCCCACCCCCCAAACCTTCTCTATCCCATTCCTCCTGCCCATCCCCTCTTTTTTCCGTGGGAAAGTTGCTTGAAGAGGTCATGGGCAGGGGGGAGGGGGAAAAGGGGTGAGCTCCGACAGAAGGCCGATGGCAAAGTCAGACAAAGGGGGATAACATGCTAATTAAGTGGCCAAGAAAGGGCTGAGAGAAGATGGGTTTTGGGGTAGGGGGCAGGGGAGGGAAGACTGGAGGAAGAATGAAAAAGGAAAGGACTGGGAGATATGGAAGGGTAGGCAGAGGCCTCTCTGTCAAGGCAACAGTATAAAGGGGAAAGAAACTACTTTTCTATAGTCCTTTTGATACACCACTGCCCACCCCGCCCACCCCTACTCCCTGCCTCCAATTCTATTGGCATCTAAAGAAGAGGAGAGGGAAAGAGAGAATGAATAATCAACTCAGCCATTAGGATTCAAAGGGATTCCGGGCTCCCCACCTCCACTTTATATCATTGGGCTTTGCTGGCATTTTCAAGGGGCACCAGGAATGACCAGGGACATCTGGGACTTGATGCCACAAGTGGCCTACGGGCCGTGGCTGGAAACCTTTAATGACTGGTGATGAGCATGTCAGAGAAGGGACGGAAGGAGTGAGGCTGGCCTTCCGTCTCCCCGAGGAGCTTGGCCAGCTCAAAGGCTCCCTATCTTTACGATGAGGGCCTAGGTTCCCTCCAACTCTTATGTTTTAAGATTCTACGATTCCATTTTAGGCAGTGCCATGTTCCTAGGCGCAGAAATCTAGCTGAGGGCAATTTCATCCTCAGGTCTCTCCATAAGGGTAGGGAGGATTTCATTTTTAGCTTTGGTTTCCCAGGGCTCAGAGCACAGCAAGTACTGAACCGATTGAGTCTAGTATTGATAATAGGTACTCATGGCCCCAAAGTCACCCTAATCACTTGAGTCAGCCAAAGACCAGAGACAGAGCTGGGGTTCCCCAAAAGGAAAGAAGAGGTTGGAGAGGTCATAGGATCACAGACTTGGAGCTGAAGGGATACAATGAAGGGATGAGTTAAAGAATGGGGAGCAGATCTCTCACCCCTACCAGACAACACCCTTGGGTAAGACTCCCTTATCTAGTCATTTATACTGATGGTCACCAAGCCAAGAAGAAATAACTTTCTAGGATTTACAGTTTCGAAGAAACATGACCATCAACTAATCCAATCCCTTAAAGATGAGGAAACTGAGGCCCAAGAAAGTAAATTTCCTAGTCACATAGATACATGTTCAAAAGGCAGGATCTGAACCCAGGTATTCCTGATTCTAAGTACAGTACACTATTCACTACTCTGTGCTCCTTTTTTCAAGACAGTTTGACTTGCTTAAAGGGATATTGGGAATTACAACGGAGCCTTTCCCACCAAACCACCTGAGAGACATGAAACAGTGCCTCAGCTCAATTCTCACTTCAAGTTAATTTCTACGCCAGTGAAAATTCTTGGGTGGAGAGACGTCTGGACTCGGGAGGTATCCATCCGCCTCTCCCTCCCAGTGTGTGTGGCACCAGTTGTTGATCTGACCTCCATTATCCCACCCCAGCATTTTACAGGATGACTCCTTCAAGGACCCCTTTGAGCTTTCAGCTGGGGTCCCTCAGCATGGAAGAAATGGAGACACCTACCCAGAAGCAATCAGTACTCTGGACTGGGCGATGGCCAGACGCTGCAGATTGGTTCGGTTCAGGGTCGCCAGAGCTACCCGCCCGTTCTTGCTGGTGGCCCCTGGGGGGCTGGCTGGGGAGGCTGAGGAGCTCAGGGCCGGCGTGCTACTCGCCTGCCTCCGGTTCACCTGTGAGGTCATCGTCTTCCCCGGCCCCCGAATGGTGCCCATGCCATCCAGAGGCTTGAGCCCAGCACCCGGAGGTGGGGGCAACTTGGTCCCACTAGGGGTAGGCATGTTTTTCCGGGCAGGCATGGGTGGTAGCAGCCCCATGCCACCATTTGCCCCAGCTGCTGCCTTGACGCTCATTACCAAGAGGCACTGTGGGCAGGAGCACGGAGGGCCTGGGGGGGAGCTGGCCGTGCCCTGACTGACCGGCCAGGACTGAGACTTGGGTAACGTGCCTGTGACCATGGGGTAGATGAGGTCAAGGCGGTGTCGGATGTGACGTTTACGCTGGGTCTGCCTGTTGATCTGACTCATTGTGCCAAAGTCAATGACGTAGCAGAAGCCAATGGAGGTGAGGTCAATCCAGGGGTGCTGCTTCTCGTAGGCATGCTGGATGGTGATGCCTACCTCCATGTCGTAAGGGGTCCAAGAGCCATTGTCATTCTCCCATTCCCAGACCACACCTTTCCCAGGTGCTGAGGCTGGGTCATAGTAGCTTCGACGGACAGGACGGAGGGTCCCTGCCAGAGAGGAGAGAGGAGAGTGTTAGCTACTCCGCCTGGAAACATCCCCGTATACCCTTCTTCCAGCGCTGGGACCCTACGCCATTTTGCGATTAGGTGACACTGGGCAATCCCTTTCATTGCTCAGGCCCTTGGTTTCATCGTCATCACCATCGATAACATTTATATAGCACCTACTACATGCCAGGCACTGTGCTAAGTGCTTTACAAAAATTATGCCCCTTGATCCACGGAAACCGAGGCAGACAGAGTTAAGTTACTCGGCCAGGGTCACACAGTATGTGTTTGAGGCTGGATCTGAACTCAGGTCTTCTTGGCTCCAGGCCTAGTGCTCTATCTACTGTACCACCTAGCTACCGATTAGAAATAATGAGAGCTAACATTTTAATGCAGGGCTTTAGCATTTGCAAAGCACTTTATATCCATTACCCCACTTGATCCTCACAGCCACCTCACAACTTGTGAAGTGGGCACTATTAATAACCACATTTTACAGAAGAGGAAACTGAGACATAGAAAAATTAAGTGACTTGCTCAGGGTCACACAGCTTAGTAAGGGATGGCGCAGATTTTGAACTCAGGTCTTCCTGATTCCAAGCTCTGGATGCTGTCAACTATACCACATAACCTCCTCCCCCCTCCCCACCCTTGCTAAATGAGGAGGTTGGATGAAGTTTTTTTCATTCATCCCCCAAACATTTATTCTGCATGTATTACGTGCTGAAAAGTGTGCTAGGGGCTGAGGAAGTTACATAGCTTAATAAGACACAGGGTCCTGGAAGCAAGTTATTTATTAAGCTCCCTTGGTCTCAGTCTCCTCATCTGTAAAATGAGGCAGTTAGATTCGAGGGCCTTATGATCCTGTCCCAGGCAGCTTTCAGTCTCATAGAGAGAAAACACATACACACACATGCATGCACCTACACACATGCACAAGCATGAGTGCACATACACACGCCATGAACATGAAGACGGATGTGGGGACAGCCCCCACCTGGAGGGGGGCAAAGGCAAACTAAGGCTGATGCAATGACTCCTTCTCTGAAACAGAATTAAATTATGCCAGAGGAAGAAGAAGAAGAAGAAATAATATTACGTATTTATCTAGTGCCTTCCCTCCAAGGAGCTCCAAGCACACCCTAGATGCTATCCCTGTAATATGCAGTGTTGCTAGGACAGAGGGAGGAAGGAAGGAGACAGAGGATATTAGATTATATAATATTATTATTATATTAATTTCTCCATGAGGAGAAATTAAGGGATGGGGGACAAAAGAGTGACTCCCCTCAGGTTTTATTGTCCATCAGTGGTAAGACCAGGAAGGAAGAACGATAATACCCCATTGCCACAGTTAAAGAACTTTGCTTTCCGTCTCTGTGTTGGATGGGTGGTGACAGAATTATGATCCCCATTTTACAGATGAGGAAACTGAGGCTCCGGGAGGTGACGTACTTAAAACCCCTCCCGCTCTATGGTTTTGATCCCAGGATCTTACATCGACCTAGCCAAAGTCACATAGCTAACAACGAAAGGACTCAAAGAGAGGATCTACTTGTGATGCTTTGTCCACATCCTGCTGCTTCTCAGTCTAGCTCCCAGAGGCAGCAAGCTCAGTCTTTCCAGGTTCCGACTCTAGTTTTCCAGTTCTGCTACCACGGCTTCTAACCTAAAGTCAGGTCCCTTCTCCAATAAGGCATCATTCCATGAGGGAACACCAAAAACAAAGCACGGAGGAGGGGTCAGGGAAGAGGGAGGGCCTCAAGGATGCAGGAATCTTAGCATCTGTCAGCTTCATCACCATTCAACAATCTGATGGGAAAGGGTCCCTCCCCAGGCCTCAAGCCCTCCCCAACCTTCTCTCAGAGGGGAGACCCATGACCACTATGACTGAGGACAGCCTCTCATTCAAGAGGAGAAGAAAAGGAACAGTTACCATTCAGGCCCCTTCCAGGGTCATACCCCACCCCCCGGCCCCACATCTCAGAGCCCCTTAATGACCCCAAACGACAACATTCAGAGTTACTGGGAGACACAGAACAATTCCTCATTCAGTGGTAAGACCCTTGGAGGAGGGAAGAAGAAAGAATGGGGGGGGGGGGAACAATTATCCCTCACAATTTCCTTTCTAAAGAGTCCAGATGAAGACACTGGCTGCTACTCAGCCCCATGCTATGCATGGGGCTTTTTCTCCTATTTAGTATTTATTAGAGTCTACGGAGAATTGGGTGACCATAAGGAAAGGGCTAGGATGGGGGAAGGAGAACTCAGCTCCCCATCCCAGGGAGGATGGGGATACTCTATTCTCTCTTCAGTGACATTGTCCAACCCATCCCCCACTGACACCCTGGACTGTGGGAGAGGAAGTATGAAAAGAGGGCCAGGTTTGGAATCAGAGTCCCAGCTTAATATTTAATAGCTCTGTGACCAATGGGAAGGCACTTTACCTATACAGGATCATAAAAGAAAAGGATCTGAAGCTGGAAAGCACCTCAAAGGCCATCTGATCCAACCTCCTCCTTTTACAGATGAGGAAACTGAGGGCCGGGGGGGTGAAAAATAGGTATCTTGGGTAGAATTTGAACCCTGACCCTCTGATGTCAGGGTCTGTGCTCTTTCCACTATACCAAGCAACCTCTCTGAGCCTCAATTCCCTCACCTGGGAAATGGGTATCATAGCTGCCTGCCTACCTACCTCACAGTAAAGGAAATGTGTTGGAAACTTTACAGTTTATAACATATGTAGGATCTTCCAAAAGTTTCTGTACAGGTTTAAGATATTAAAAGTTTAAGTTACAGTTAACAACCATAACTGTGAAAAAACATTTTGAAGCAAGTTTCTCTGATAAAGCCCTCATTACTCAAATACATAGAAAAATGAGTCAGATTTAGAAAAATAAGAGCCATTCCCCAATTGATAAATGATCGAAAGATTTCAGATGAAGTAATCAAAACTACATGAAAAAATGCTCTAACTCACTATTGGAGAAATGCAAATCAAAACAATTCTGAGGTACTACCTCACACCTATTACATTGGCTAATAGGACAGAAAAAGAAAATGATAAATGTTCGAGGCGATGTGGGAAAATTGAGACACTACTGCACTGTTGGGTAGAGTTGCGAACTGATTCAACCGTTATGTAGACCAATTTAGCACTATGCCCAAAGGGTTATAAAACCATGCACACCCGTTGACCTAGCAATACCACTACTAGGTCTCTATCCCAAAAGAGATAAAAAAAAACAAAAAAGAAAAGGACCTATATGTACAAAAATATTTATAGCAGTTCTTTTCTGGTGGCAAAGAACTGCAAATTGAGGGGATGCCCATCAACTGGGGAATGGTTGAATAAGTTGAGGTACATGATTGGGATAGAATATCATTGTGCTATAAGAAATGATGAGCAGGATGACCTCAGGAAAACCTGGAAAGACTTATATGAACTGATGCAAAGTGAAATGAACAGAGCCAGGAGAACACTATACACAGTAACAGCCATATTGTGAGATGATCAACTGTGAACAACTTACTATTCTCAGCAGCACCACAGTCCAAAACAACTCTGAAGGACTTATGATTAAAAATGTTATCCATCCCCAGAGAAAGAACTGATGGAGTCTGAATACAGATCAAAGCTTACTTTTTTTGTCTGCTTTATTTTTCTTGGTTTTTTTTTTTTTTTGGTCTATGTTTTCTTTTACAACGTGACTAATGTGGAAATATGCTTTGCATGACTGCATATGTATATATTATCCCTCACAATTTCCGGATGAAGACACTGACTGCTACTCAGCCCCATGCTATGCATGGGGCCTTTCCTTCTATTTTGTACTTATTAGAGTCTAAGGAGAATTGGATGAACATAAGGTAAGGGTTAGGATGGAGGAGGGAGTGCAGCTCCCCACCCCAGGGAGGATGGGGATGCTCTATTCTCTCTACAAGCAAGCTCCAGTGATACTGTCCATCCCATCCCCCACTGACACCCTGGATTCTGGGAGAGGACGTATGAAAAGAGGGCCAGATCTGGAATCAGAGGGCCCCAATTGCTTGCCTTCTCAATGAGTGGTGTGGGGAGAAAGGGAGAGAAGGAATTAAAATATTGAAAACAAATGTTAAAAATTGGTTTTACATGTAATTGGGGGAAAATAAAATCCTAAATAAATAATTTTTAAAACGTTTTTAAAAGTTTAAGTTACTAAAGCTTAAACCTGTACTGACTTTCAGGACATTTTCTGTGCATAAATTTGAATTAAAGGATGTGACAACCTATAATCCTAAGGCTCCATTCAAAGGCACTGTGAAAACCTAAAAAGAAACTCCCTATTCTGGCCACCATTTCCCAATATTTCTTGAGTTCTTCTATCCCGAGTCGGCTCTGTTAGAATGTCAGCTCTTTAAGGGCAGAGACTTTTATTTGTTTGTTTATTTGGGCAACATTGGATTTTCTTTCTTTCTTTTGTTACATTTTAACTTCTGAAATGTCTCCCTCCCTCCTCACCCTGCCCTAGAGAAGGCCACCATTTGATGCACATTTATAAATATATGCAAAACCATAACATACATGCTTCTATTTATCAGTTCTTCCTCTAGAAGAGGACAGCATCTTCCTTCATGGGTCCTTTACAGTTGATCTGAGTATTTAAAGTACTCAGAATCACTTGATTGTTCACAATTATTCTTCGAACAACATTACTGTTACTATATACAACATTCTCTTGGTTCTGCTCACTTCACTTTTCATTATTTCATGCAAGTCTTTCCATGTTTTTTTTAAAATCAACTAGCTTATCATTTCTTACAGTACAGTAGTTGTTTAGCCGTTCCCCAATTGATGGGCATCCCCTCAATTCCCAGTTCTTTGCCACCACAAAGAAAGCTGCTATAAACATTTTAGAACATATAGGTTCTTTTCCTTTTTCCTTGATTACCTTGGGAAATAGATCTAATGTGATATTGCTGGATCAAAGGGCATAGGCAGTTTAATAAATCTTTGGGCATAATTCCGGATT